CGAATTTTGTTAAAGACTGGTTCTGCAGTCACTAGTACAGCTGCACCAATATCAACTTCCATTAGAACTGGGTGACCATTTATTTTGATTGTTTATTTTGATTGTCTGTCATTTGGATGTAGCTAAGCATTTTAACTGTTCCAAACCAGCTGTAGGTAGACTTTCCAGGGTGTACACTCTCCTGGATACCAGCCAATGTGTTCTCTGACTCAACTCAGACCTAGAGAGATTCTTTTGCTGTCTCGAGTTCACATACCAGCAGCAACTACAATGGCTTACCGGCCCAGATCTTGGAGAAAATGTTAAATCTTTGGCGGAGACTTAGCTTTGTTTTGGGTTTTGCTGTGGGTTGACCTAGTGTTCCTCTGTTCAGGATATGCCCTGAGAGTGGCCATGCAATTGCCTTCACTTAAGTAGTGTTCCTCAAGCTCAGTCAGACTGGCAAGGGTGTCCATTTCCATCAGAATACCCTGTAACTCATATACTCCACTTGTTGCATTTTCCAATGATAAAGCCAATTGCAATGCCTATTTGAAGTCCAGTTGGTCTTCTGCTTGTAGGTGCTTTTGCCTAATTACATCATTAGAATCATCACAAAATCCCTACAGTGTGGAAGCAGGCCATCTGCTCCATCAAATCCATTCTGACCCTCCAAAGAGCATCCCACCCAGACCCATCCCCTACCCTAACTCTGCATTCCCCATGGCTAATCCACCTAACCTACAGATCCCTGAAGACTATGGGTGATTAAACATGACTAATCCACCTCACTTACAAATCTTTGGACTATGGGAGGAAACCTGAGCAGTCAGAAGAAATCAACGTGGACATGGGGAGAATGTGCAAACTCCACACAGAGAGTTGTCAGAAGGTGGAATCGAACTCATGTCCCTGGTGCTGTGAGGCAGCAGTGCTAGCCACCTTGCAACCTACATTAATCCCCCATACCAAACAGTCTCCCTGCATCTCATTAAGGGTTAAATCACAATCGCACGTCTTTGCCAGTTGTCCTAACCTCATCAAAAATCCTGACATGGATTTCGCAGTCTCAAACTGCTGCGTAAAACCGATTGCATCTCAGAATTAGAGGAGACTTGGGGTCATAATATTCCTTGACTAAATCCATCAAGGTTTAGTAAGGTTTTAGCATCTGTTGCCTCAAGAAACATTAGGCTCCTAATAATGGAAAAAGTTGCTAGTCCATAAGCTGTCAGGAGAATTACTCGTTGCTTTTCATTTAGAACATAGAACATAGAACATTACAGCGCAGTACAGGCCCTTCGGCCCTCGATGTTGCGCCGACCTGTGAAACCAATCTGAAGCCCATCTAACCTAAACTATTCCATTATCATCCATATGTTTATCCAATGACCATTTAAATGCCCTTAAAGTGGGCGAGTCTACTATTTTTGCAGGCGGGGCATTCCACGCCCTTACTACTCTCTGAGTAAAGAACCTACCTCTGACATCTGTCCTATATCTATCACCCCTCAATTTAAAGCTATGTCCCCTCGTGCTAGCCATCACCATCCGAGGAAAAAGGCTCCCACTGTCCACCCTATCTAATCCTCTGATCATCTTGTATGTCTCTATCAAGTCACCTCTTAACCTTCTTCTCTCTAACGAAAACAGCCTCAAAACCCTCAGCCTTTCCTCATAAGACCTTCCCTCCATACCAGGCAACATCCTGGTAAATCTCCTCTGCACCCTTTCCAATGCTTCCACATCCTTCCTATAATGCGGTGAACAGAACTGTACGCAATACTCCAAGTGCGGCCGCACCAGAGTTTTGTACAGCTGCAACATGACCTCATGGCTCCGAAACTCAATCCCTCAACCAATAAAACCTAACATACTGTATGCCTTCTTAACAACGCTATCAACCTGGGTGGCAACTTTCAGTGATCTATGCACATGGACACCGAGATCTTTCTGCTCATCCACACTACCAAGAATCTTACCATTAGCCCAGTACTCTGTATTCCTGTTACTCCTTCCAAAGTGAATCACCTCACACTTTTCCGCATTAAACTCCATTTGCCACCTCTCAGCCCAGCTCTGCAGCTTATCTATGTCCCTCTGTAACCTGCAACATCCTTCCGCACTGTCCACAACTCCACCGACTTTGGTGTCATCCGCAAATTTACTAACCCATCCTTCTACGCCCTCATCCAGGTCATTTATAAAAATGACAAACAGCAGTGGCCCCAAAACAGATCCTTGAGGTACACCACTAGTAACTGAACTCCAGGATGAACATTTCCCATCAACCACCACCCTCTGTCTTCTTACAGCTAGCCAATTTCTGATCCAAACCGCTAAATCACCCTCAATCCCATGCCTCCGTATTTTCTGCAATAGCCTACCATGGGGAACCTTATCAAATGCTTTACTGAAATCCAAATACACCACATCAACCGCTTTACCCTCATCCACCTGTTTGCTCACCTTCTCGAAGAACTCAATAAGGTTTGTGAGGCACGACCTACCCTTCACAAAACCGTGTTGACTATCCCTAATCAAATTATTCCTTTCTAGATGATTATAAATCCTATCTCTTATAATCCTTTCCAACACTTTACCCACAACCGAAGTAAGGCTCACTGGTCTATAATTACCAGGGTTGTCTCTACTCCCCTTCTTGAACAAGGGGACAACATTTGCTAGTCTCCAGTCTTCTGGCACTATTCCTGAAGACAATGACGACATAAAGATCAAAGCCAAAGGCTCTGCAATCTCCTCTCTAGCTTCCCAGAGAATCCTAGGATAAATCCCATCCGGCCCAGGGGACTTATCTATTTTCACACCTTCCAGAATTGCTAACACCTCCTCCTTATGAACCTAAATCCCGTCTAGTCTAATAGACTGTATCTCAGTATTCTCCTCGACTACATTGTCTTTTTCCTGTGTGAATACTGACGAAAAATATTCATTTAGCACCTTTCCTATCTCTTCGGACTCCATGCACAACTTCCCACTACTGTCCTTGACAGGCCCCAATCTTACTCTAGTCATTCTTTTGCCCCAATGTCATTTGTACAGAAAAGAATAACGCATTCTTTCCACATACTGGGCCCAAACTTTGATGGCAGAATCAAACGAGTAAAGCTTTCTAAATAACAGCATGATGCACGAAATGCTTACCCTGACTCAAAGATGACTGTTGTAAGTGAATTTCTTCAGGAGTGTATTTTTTTCTTTCAAAGCCACTGAAATAACTGCACAGGGTCCAGAATCTTGTCACCAAGTCACCCTTTATTTACATATGCATAGTATTTGACACTAGCCTGTGTTCCTCAGAGGCAGCTCACAGAGTGAACAGAACCTCTGATGCTCCCCTTTTTATCTGTCAGCCAGGGCTCTCTGATTGGACCAGATTAACAGCCCCACTCAGGGAACTCATATTCAATGATGTCCATCTGGCTGATCTCGTTACAATCACTATGATCCTCATGTTTTGCTGCTCTACAAGCTTTCCCTGCATGGGCTTGAACTGTAGGGAGAGGCTGAGTAGGCTTGGGCTATTTACCATGGAGCGTTAGAGGCTGAGGGGTGACCTTATAGAAGTTTATAAAATCATAAGGGTCATGGATAGTGTGAATAGTCAAGGTCTTTTCTGCAGGGTAGGGGAGTCCAAAACTAGAGGGCTTAGGTTTAATGTGAGAGGGGAAAGATTTAAAATGGACCTAAGGGGCAACTTTTTCACGCAGTGGTTAGCATGTGTTTGGAATCAACTGCCAGAGAAAGTGGTGGAGGGTGGTAAATTACAACATTTAAAAAGCATCTTGATGAATACATGAATAGGAAGGGTTGAGAAGGATATGGGCCAAATGTTGGCAAATGGGACTAGATTAATTTAGGATAACTGGTTGACATGGATAAGTTGGACTGAAGGGTCTGTTTCTGTGCTGCACATCTCTGTGACTCTATAACTGAGTTTGGAGGTTCTCTGCCTGCAGTGAATTATTCTCCATGATTTATTCATATGCCAGGGAAATCAGAAGCATTCGCTTTGAGCCTGCTATGAAGATATTGTGATTGTTCTTTTGCTTGGTACCAAGCTGAGTGGTAATGAACTTTCTCGATTACACATCCTTGTATTTAGTTATGGCTAGAGAATCTCCAGTCATGATGTCTCTTCCAAAGCAATTTCATTGTCTCTGGAACACCCCCTTTAAAAGATCAATTATTGCTGCCTATCCTCCATCTAAATGGTACCCTGGTTGACATCACACTGGGCTCCACACATACACTGATAGCACCCAGGTCTATTCAACTACCTCCTTACTCAACCCCTTCAATGCCTCTGTGATATCTTAATGCTTAGAGCTGCAGTCCAATACCCACTTATGAATGGGCCTCACTTTAATTATTAAACCTTGGGAAGATTGAAACTATTTTTTTCTTTGGCTTCTGTCTTCAGCTCTGTAGCTTTTCCTATGATTGCAACTTTCATCAAGCGGCTGTACAATACTTCTGACTGTATTTTTATAACAAGGCACACATGACAATAAATAAATCAAATCAAATAAAATGATCCAATTTCTGAATCAATATATTTGTCATTCTATATTGATAATTCACATATGGTCCAGAACTCCTTAATGTGTATTTGCAGCAAATAAGATGCCTTAATCTGTAAAATAGGTTATTTAATTAGGAACTCAAGTAATGCATCATCATTTTTGCATTAGTGAACACATACAGCTTCATTGTGATTATTAACACATCACCAACAATAGAGGATTTTCAAATTAGAGTCACCATGCATGTGAAATGGTATTTGGCTAGCACATTAAAATTGTTCTGTTAAATGTAAAACATTAAAACATTTAAAACATTATGAGCTAGATCTGAAAGAAGGAAACATAAACATTTTTGGTTAATGATACTTGTTCAATTGCTTGAATACTTCAGAAACAATGATTCAGCTACTAATTTATAAAAGTAACAATACAGCATACTATCAGTTTGTTCTAAAATATATTTCCATACTACACCTTAATATTGTGTTTCAATCTTCTTTAACTGAACTCACTCAACAATCAATGTAATCATTTAATTCGAATTGCTGCTCTTGTGTTCTTGTCAAGGTAATTCTCACTTAAGTTATGTAGCTACGATACTTTGCTAACTATTCATCCCTATTTATAGTTTTACCGTTTGGCTAAGTGAAATTCCTCCCACGTAACAGACCTAAAGTCTACTTTTGATTTGTTGCTTTGCTAAACAAGCCTCCGGCTTTGACCAATAATTGCAATGCAATATTTTTCTGTGGCCAGTATAAGCACTGGAAATTCATTGATATCAGTGAATATTGATCAAAGTACACATTAACTGAAAGGCATTGTACCCATCCTGGCTCACTCCCTCCCTGTCAGCACATTAATGGCAAGAGGTGGGTGGAACAGACTCTGTTTAATGCTAAAAATTCTGAACCCTGCTGCATAAAACGTCCACTACTTGTGTTATAAGACATAACATCATTGAATGGTTAAAACACAGAAGAAGGCTATTTGGCCTGTTATGTCTATGCTAGCCCTTCGCAATGGCAATTTGCTGAGTGTCTCTCCCCTGCCTTTTCTCTGTAGTTCTGTAACTTAGCCTGCTTCAGACAACGATTCAATTCTATTTTAAATGTCATGAATGTGTATGCCTTCACCACACCTTAAGGCAGTGCATTCTTGATACTAACCACTCGCTGTTTAGAAGTGCTTTTCTTCATGTTGCTATTGCTTCTTTGCTAGTCACTTTAATTCAGTATAGCTCTGATTCTCAATCCTTCTTTCAATTGGAACAGTTTGTCCTAACCTACACTGTCTAGATTGCTGGTGATTTTGAACCCTTTATCAAATCATGTGTATTAGTATTTGTTCCCATGTTGGTCAGACCAAGTGCATTAGAAGATTGGATTCTTGTAATGCAGTGTTGGGATCGTTGGGATGTGGGTCAGGCATGTTGCAGAGGTGGGTTTGTGTACAAGGCCTGCCTTGGTGCACTGGCACTGTACTGCAGTTTAATTGAAAAAGAAACAAAGCATCATTCTATCCTCTACCATTCATAACTCCTCCTGTCCACTTATACCCGATGCTTACCCATGCCAACTTGTACCCCGTTACTGAAAGCAGAAGCTTGGGAGATCAGTGAAGAAGACCTACTTGTAGCTGTGCATTCCTCCTGATGTGTGAAACAGCACTGACCAGGGCAGCTGTCTGTGTCTGGGGCCATGGCCTGCTCTACTGGATTGAGAAGACTGGCCTTCTGTCCATCACCTCCTCCACCAGTACCTTCAGATCTCCAGATCTCCAGAGCCGGGTACCAGCTTTCCTTTCTGGGAAGGGAAAGGCCAAAGATGTTGGATCAGCTGTCAGTGAATGGCCGTTCCTAGTTGCATCTTTTGAGGTGATCTGCTGGTGGTGTTTACAAGCGGGGCTGAAAATTACACTTTCTTTTGGCTAAGTCCAAGTTATGCCGACTGTTTTGGTGAGAATCTCACTGTAACCTAATCGAACTTGTCTCCTTAATTGCCACTTGTACCCCATGGCATCCCTTGGGTCTGATTTCCATCCAATCACATCATGTGTCATTCCTGGAAGAGTTCACCACTCGGTGGATATTCACTCTGTGATCATATTCCCTTGCATCTGCACCATCTTTGAAAGCCTGCTGTGCACTGGAGGAATGATGGCATCTGGAAGCTCCTTTGCTCAGTTTTGGAGACTGTGAGGAGAGATGGCTGAGAAGGGGAGATTGGTACCAAGTTTCGATAGGGACCTGGAGGTCTTAGTCATTGGAGTGGTCAGAGGAGAGGACTCCCTTTCCTGGAGGACTGACAGGACAAGCCAAGCCACCCAAGACAAGACAAGCCTATATGAAGATTGCAACCTGGCTCAGTGCCATCTCCAGGCTGCAGTGCAGAAATAAGGTCAATGATCTTCTCTACCACTCCAGGACTTTGATCTCTGCTACTTGACACTCACTCTATCCCTGCCACAGTGCCCACCACCCACCAAGGCTCATCGTCTGACATACTCTTTGTTGCATGTAATACCTTCCCTCACTCTCACTTGTTACCCCTCTATCCTCCCATACCACTACCCCTGCATGTCCACCGTGTTGCCTTCCCACACTTTTGGAACAACTGAACACTCTTCCCCTGCACAACAGTCGTGCCACCCACTTACATCTTACTCATTTGTCTCCTTGATACTGTTACTGGAGAAGAGATCCCGTAACTGGGCAAAGCGATGTTGTGTGGCTGGGGTGTGCCTGATATCCAATATACCTCCAAGAGGAAAGAATCCATAGGGATAGCAAGAACTGCAGATGCTGGAGTCGGAGATAACACAGTGTGGTGCTGGAGAAGCACAGCAGGCCAGACAGCATCAGAGGAGCAGGAAAGTTGACGTTTTGGGTCGGGACCCTTCTTTGGAAATGGGGAAGGGGAAGGGAGCTGGGAAATAAATAGAAAGAGGAGGGGTGAGGTTGGGAAAGGTAGGTGGAATGGTGATAGGCGAGTGCAGGTAGGGACTGGTGGGGATTGGTCAGCAAGGTGGGAGGGGTGTATAGGTGGGAGAGAAGATGGACGGGTTGTGTCAGGTCAAGGAGGCTGGGATGAGAGAGAGGGTTGGACATGGGAAGAGGCCGGGGGGTGGGGAGATTTTAAAACTGGTGAATTCCATGTTTAGGCCATTGGGCTGTAGGCTCCCTGGGGAGGAATATGAAGTGTTGCTCCTCCAGTTTAGGTGTGGGATCATTGTGACATTGGAGGAGGCCCAGGAGGAGGTGCATAGCCTCAGGAGAAAACTGGAATCACTCGTGCTGGGATGCAAAGAGATCCGTGTCGTGCCAACCGAGTAAGTACCACACTTCATTCCATTATAAATCTCAATTACCACATGGTCAGTGTCATCCAGACAATGCACTGACCATGATGACTTCCATCTCTTGTGTCTTTCAGATGCAGTTCACCTCCCTGTCTTTAGAGAAGCAGCCATCTCCCCCAGAAGGTATACACTCGACCTCTGAGGATAACAATGTTGAGCACCGAGAGGAAGCATAGGGAGACTCCTTCCTACATGCTCTACCAGCTCAGATACAGAGACCTCGGTGGATCTGGAGCTGCACAGAGTGTGGGATTGGAGGCTGGTGACTGATTGACTAAGGAAAAATGCCCTGGCCAGTGACACTAAGAGGACTGCCAGAGACCAGGCACCTGCTCATTCCCCAGCAGGAGAGGACCCAGTAATCTCCTTCAGGGACCTTCATGCAAAGGGCAGATCAGGTTGGCAGCCAGACATATGAGACTCAGGGGCATAGTGGCAGGGAGGACAGGGTGCCTTCAACCGCAATCCAGGAGCCCTGTCTTCACGCAGACACAAGGCAGTGCCAGAGGGTACCACCAGAGGAAGATTCACACTCAGAGGTGGCCATGCCCTCTGCCTCAAACCTACCTAACCCTCTTCGACCCTTGGAAGTTCAGGGCACGAAGGGTCAACTTACATTGAACAAGAATCCCTCAGCATATCTGGGCAGTCCAGACATAAATACTCCTAGGGTCTCCCCACCAGACCTCCATGGGCAATGGGCTTCGCTACTGAGCAAACTTCTTCCATCCCATCTGCAGAATAGGACCCAGTGGGAGGGAAAGGTCGAGGAAAATGTGATACAGGAGGCACTGTTTTGTAAATATCTCACAAATGCATTTTAAATATTTTTTTCGAAAATTTGATTCAAATGCAGACAGTCATTTAGATCACTAGGTCATGTGTGAAATCTGGTTTGGCCTGATACATGTCCTTGCAAAAACTGGAAAATATAAGTGGAGGCAGCACTTCTTATATTCAGTGATATTCATCATTTTCTGGGCCCTCCAAACAACCTACTTTCCACCAAGGAGAACAGTCCAAGCTTCTCTGATTTGTCAATGTTCATAGGCTGAAGGGGAGTCTGGAAACTTTCAGCAAAATGTATGTTAGAGGTTTGCATGTTAGTCAGTTTCCTGGGAATGCATCTAAAATATCTGTTGGCAAGTTAGCAGTCACAAAGATTCCTAATTTCAAAATAAATGGTCTTCTTGTTTTTAAGTTGAAAACTAAGAAGATTGTTTTCTATCAGAAATCAGGAATTCTCTACACAGGAGGCTTGGTCATTGGAAAGATTTGAATATTCATTATTATTGAAATCAAGATTACGGGAGTCAGGCAAGAAAGCTCTGATGAAGAATCACCTAGACTCGAAACGTTAGCTTGCTGTCTCTTCATGGATGCTGTCTGACTCGCAGTGATTTCCAGCATTTTTTGTTTCCAGTCAAGAAAGTGGAATTAACAAGACGATCAAGAATCTACTGATGACTATGAAACCATTGCCAATTGTCAGAGAAAACCGGAACAAAAACAGAAGTTGCTGGAAAAGCTCAGCAGGTCCGGCAGCATCTGTGAAGAACTGAGGAAGGGTCACTGGACCTGAAATGTTAACTCTGATCTTTTCTTCACAGATGCTGCCCGACCTGCTGAGCTTTTCCAGCGACTTCTGTTTTTGTTCCTGATTTACAGCATTCGCAGCTCTTTCGGTTTTCGTTTAGTTAGAAAAACCCATCTAGTTCGCTAATGTCCTTCAGGGAAGGAAATCTGCTATCCTCACCTCGTCTGACCTACATGTGACCCCAGACCCACAGCAATGTAATTGACTTTCAACTACCCTCTGAGATGGCCTGGCAAGACACTCAGATCAAGAGCATTTGGGGATGGACAATAAATGCTGGCCAGCCAGTGACGCCCACGTCCCACAATTGATTAAAAAAGAACCAGATCAGAATATTTTATTGAATGGTGAAGCAGGCTGGATGGGCCCAATGGGCTACTCCTACTCCTGTTTCTTATATTCTTATTATGAAAGCTGATTAAAGATACATTTACATCACAGGTTGAATCTTAACTTCCAAAAATGTTGCGTTAGCATTAGGTCAGAAGGAAAAGTGCACAAAATCAGCCTCAAACACATGCACTTACATGAAGTGGGTTGGTCATTTAAATCACTTCATGAGGTTAAGTATGTGCGGTAGTCCCTTGGAACATAAGTGTTATTTGCCCGTG